TGCTTACAAGAGACATCCCCATCCGAGACAGGAAATGGAGCCGGACAAACAGGATGCGGGAGTTTTGGCGCGCAAAGAGCGCTCGTTCGTTGCGCCGCCCAGAGTGTGGTGAAGCGTTCGAATTATGTTCTACCGTCTTTGTCTTCTCCCTGTAATGAGTAGTGGGAGGAGAGAGTAAGAGAGTGTGTGTGTGAGAGAGAGAGCGCGAGCGCGCGCGCGAGGGAGAGAGAGAGAAAACTATACTCCTGTTTCCGCACGCGTTTATCGGAGTGCGAGCGCGGAAGGGGGAGAAAGAACCAACGGTGTTGTGGCAGCGAGGAGGGTGGGGGAGAAGGTTTTTCGGTGTGTCGCAACGGTCGAGAAAGGGGAGGGGCTGTCCGCATCGGAAAAGGGAGGGGGTAGGGAGACAGAGAGCGGGCGAGAGAGTTCTGTCGACAGGGGGAGCGACGACCTGACGCAATCATCGGGCACCCGTATCGACGGGTTGAGCGAGTCGAGCAAAAGAGCCCGTCCTGTCGCGTAGGTACCTCTCCGGTCGCATCACCTCGCATTGCTGGTGATAAAATTATACGTCTACCTATAAATCGTTTGGTGAAGACGTTTTTAAAATAATCAATATTTGAACTATTTCTTTAATTTTCTTAATTTTGAGGACACAATTAGTTGCCTGGGTTAAATGATAGAGCGAGAATAGAGAAGGTGCCTGCCCCGATGCTGTGCAAATCATCCGCATGCTGAGTCACCTGAGCCACACCATCAGCCGCCGAGGAGCGGGCGGAGACCGGCGGAAACCGGCGGAGACCGGCGAAGACCGGCGGAGACTTGCGCGCTGGAGGAGCCGAGTGCGCCGGGCGGGTAGGCAACGGCGCCGCCCGCGTGCCCGCCGGGCCGGTATCGTCGGCCGGTGGGGCGGCAGGGCCAGAGCCGGCCAGGGCAGGACGGGAGGAGGAGCTCCCTCCTGGTGCTCCCCCGGATCCGCTTACCGGCGGGTAACGAGGGGCGGCAGCAGGTTCTGGAGCTAGCCACGCATGAGGCGCGGGTGGGAGGGGGAGGGCCGCGAGCACGGCCCGGCATAGCCTTACTCGAAGAGGAGGAGGAGGCCCGCGGGACGCTGCCACCCACCCACCCCGACCGGTCGCCAGAGGAAAACAAAGACTGCGGGGCGGCGCGGAGGGCGAAAGGGGTTTCGGGTGCAGCGGGGCTTACAAAATGTTTCGTTACTCCGGTGCCTGAACTGAACCTGAATGACAATGACAGTAACAACAACATTTTGGGTGAAGAAAAAAAAATCGACAACCAACAAACTGCTCATCACGAGCAGGATTTTCTCCTGGGCACTCACACAAAGGACACTGAAATCCGGATCTTGATGCACTTCCACCGCTGTGTCGCCCACGCTGGGGCGCGCGCACGCGAACACACACGCACCCCCTTCCCGCCACCCCCCTCGCCACAAGTTCAACGACGCAAAGCCGCGACAGTAATTAAGAGAACACGCCCACACCAACACCCTCACTTACTTACCCTCTAGCGGGCGAGAGACGGAACGTCGCACCGAGTGGCCTCACCTGCAGCGGGCGGCCTGCCCCGGTGGTGGAGCCACCGCAGCTGCCGCCGACGGAGCGGAGCGCAGCGCGCACGTGCCGCACCGGCTCCAAAGCGACGGAGTCGTCCCATTCGTGTCACGCCACATAAAATCAATGAAAAGGTAAAACAATAATTAAAAAGTGAAAAAGAAAATAATTGTTAAAACATGAAACTTAAGAATGTCCTGAAAAAAGAGTATGGCAATGCACTTTGTTGCGTTGCGGGCTTGCCTAACTAGCTCCGAACACAGGCGCCTAGACAGGCCCCTCCGGCGGAAAACCCCATAATGCGCAAAAGGACTTCCGCCGGACTTCCGAACAGGGCTTTACTCTACTCTCTGCCGTTAGTTTATACTTTTATTGTCAATATGTGAAAGATGCCCCGTCCTCCCTCCGACACCAGGGGACACACGTGGTTTGTGAACGCTCTATGCTCACACGTGTGTGAGCAAAATGGGGGGTCCCCCGCGGCGTCCCGTGTTGATTCTGATAATTGCACTGAATAACTAACCGACCAACTTAACTCTTGAGTGGTCGCGCCCGCTTGGCGTGGGCGGCAGAGAGACCGGTGGCGGCGGTCTGGCGGGGTGTGGCGGGGCGGGGAGGCCCGTTGTTATTGTTCAGGGTGCCGTTTGGCGCCCGTTTGGTGCCCGTTTGGTGCGCCCCGTGGACCCGAACTCGTCCCCGCAAACCTGTCCGCCCCCACAGCATTGCGGCGCCGACACTCGCCAACACCTCGTTAGGGGAGGGAAACCGATTCAACCTTCCTTCTCGTCCCTCCCCCTCCCCTCCCCACCTCAACCCCATCCCCCTCAAAAAAAAACTAGGCCAATGGGACCCAGCATGTTGACAAGCAGCGGCGTGTGCGCGCGTCAAGAGAGAGAAAGAAGAGTATTCACAAAAACACATAGCGCGCTCCTGTAAATTAATTCTTTATTACGCACGTATTTGTTCTAACGATGTAAAATGAATAAAAACCACTTGACGCGGTTGCGTTTTCTGAAGGGAAAAAAAGTTGATTTTATGGATTGTCATAAAAGAGTTTTTTAGAGCACCTACGCGAGCAATCGTCCTTTCTTATATATCTCGCCCTGAGGGGGTGTGTTGCGGCGTTCGAGTCGATTGCACACAAAACCACCGCGCGCGGGGCTCTCTTCTCCTCTCCCGCCACACACTGTAATTGGGACGGCGGGCAGCGCTCTTTACACTTTTATTGCCCCTCGAGTGCGGCGCTGAATGGAGACATCAGCGTAACTCGCTTCGCACGTCGACCGCGGGGGGCGCGCGGGGAGGAAGGGAGTCGGTCCGCGTGGAGGTCGCTCCAAATGTGAGAGTGTGTCCGCTGCTGTTTGAGATACAGTTTATAATGTCCGCGCGGCGCGAAACGGTGCAAAGTTTCGTTTTTGATGCCATTTTCCGAAAATGTCATGAAATATACTCAGCAAGCGCCGAGGGGAGGAAGGGAGGGTGGGCTGCTGGGGCGCGCGCGGCGCGGGCCCACCATAAGAGGATGGGAGAGGGGTTGGTAGAGGAGGGGGGGCTGACGATCGGGCGAAGCCCGATGTCCATACGTTAGGCACGCAACGCGCACCATTGTATCAGCGGGCATACAACAAAAATCGGCAAACGAACACATCCGCATTCTCGAGCAGGGATCACGCGCACGACGCAATAAACTTCGCCCACACCCACCCACCCTCTCACACACACACGGGCAGATGTCCCGCCTATCCCTTCCAAAAGGCACCGCCCGAGCGCAGTGCAACCGTAAAACAGTCGTGAAACGTCACCGTAAGTCTCCCGAGGAACAAAACCCCTTAATAAGCAGAGACACACAGTAGTGCAGTTCTATTGCGAGCCCGCTGTGCGAATGGCGTCGTAAGTAAGCAACGGAGCTGTCAGCTCCGGGAGGTCTGCTGCTCGTGGGTGAAGGTGCGACGTGCGTGCTGACTGCCGCTGACCCCTGGCGACCCCGCTGATTGGAGCGGCAATCGAAGAGCATCGCGGAGCAGCCCCGCCACATGGCACGGGCGACGACCACTCCGCAACCATCAAAATGACAAAGTTGTCAGTTCTGACAACTGCTTGATTTCGGAAATTTCATGAATTTCGCAAGGTATAGTCGCAGCTGCTGGATTTTCCTATGCCGGCCGAGAATTTTTGGTTCCTTTGAGCTTGTGTTTTCTTCGAAAATACCCCTCACTCCCTCCCTCTTCTCTAGATCCGCATCAGACGGCTCATGTCCCTGGATCTATTCAGTACGCACGGCTCGCCCGACTGCTTACAACTCACGAAATTCACGCCTTGTGACTTTACATCTGGTGGTTGGTTCGCGCCCTACCGTCACCGAGGCAAATGATCTCTTATTTCAAGTACAGTTTGTACTAAAGAGGCCCAAGATTATTATGGCTTTTCTTGACACAAGGCAATTTTTCATTTAGATGACGAACATTTTCTCCTGACGGCCCCGCGAGAGTATGCAACCCGTCTGCACTCCTGCATGCGGTACAGTATAAGCAAAATAATGGAACGGGCCTGTGGACGACGGACCACCCTGTATTCTAGACGTCGTCGATTCTGCTACGGTAAGGAAACAAAGCAAAACTGGAGACTAAACATGGTTTCGGGAATCGTGGGAGTGAGGTAAGGGTAAGAACTGTGAGATTTCGATCGACGCCGTGCTTCGCTCTGGCACAGATCAGCAAACTACGTGTTAAACTCCGCGTGGGCACCTATAGCACTTTCGCACGGACCGGACCGCGGACCGCCACCGCCGCCCCCAGTCCGCTTCCCGCCCTATGGGCCCGGCTATATTGGGGAGTGCCAAGGGAAAAGCAAAAGCCATCAAAGCACATCGCTTTGACTACATCACGCACCCGGCCGGCGGAGGGGAAGGGGAAGGCGCGGGAGCGTGCGGGGAGGAGGAGGGGGGGGGGAGAGGAGGACTGGTGGCTGCGTGCGCGTAGCCCGCGTCGCCCCCGCGTGCCGCGCTGGCCCGCCCGCCGCGGCCGTCCCCGCCCTCGCGGACGCTACGCGGACGCAGCCCGTGGTGTGGGGGTGGTCACGTCCGTGAGACACGTGCTGGCGCTGGGTTCCCACGTGCCGGGCGCCCGCCGCGCCACGCCGCGCCACGCCGCGGATCTATCCACGCCGCCGCATATTTGCTGATTAGAATTCACTCTCGTCGTGCACCAGCAGCGCGACGCTGTTGTGTTTCGGCAACAGCGGCGGCGCCCAGACCGACCCGGCTCTCGAGGCCGGTGCCGTCGCCGTCGAGGAGTCCACTTGCAAACGGAGTTCGGAGTTCGAGGTAGTGCTGAGACGACGCGACACGCGACACTGAACTGTAAATCTGGGCTGTCTAGCAGCTGTGCGACTTATGTTGCACTTTATTTGCAGGACACTTTGAGTTTTGGCTCCCTTTTACTCAAGTCCTTCAAAAGTGCATAGAAACCTGGGTTGTGCAACTTTTACTAAAATGAAACTGAAAGCACCAAGGAAAGTGAGACATCAAGGGTAGGCTGCAGGGTGAATCCGGTGAATCAGAGAAGACGCAGGCACGGGCGGGTTTGCCTACTCGCTCTGCTCGTAAGGCAATGCGCCAGGCAATGGCCAGGTAGGCAACCCGCTCGCACGTGCGTCTTCTTAGAATCACCCCTGTGACCACCCGGTGCTGACGTCGTTGCAACCCTTGTCATTGCCACGGTGATTCGCATCTGTGCGTCAAACGAAAGAGGGAGAGATGCTTTGCAGTTTTATATTAGAACGCATCTATCTAGAATGCATGCGGACCAATTACGAAATAGCCACAGAGCCACAATTAGGCCCACAAACAACGACTGTCATGTGGGGCTATGGCGTAATTACGTTGGGAAATTATGGCCGAACATCAAGATATTTTTGTTTCGTCCTACTGTGTTGCGGCGTTCGAGTCGATTGCACACAAAACCACCGCGCGCAGGGCTCTCCTCTATGCTCCCGCCACACACTGTAATTGGGACGGCGGGC